CCCCAAAACCCCAAAACCCCAAAACCCCAAAAGCCTCAAATAAAACTGAGCCAAGTCAAAATGGAATAAAAACTCTTAATTAAGCCCCAATGATCTCGTCATACATTTTCTTCTGAGAGGGTTCTTTATACTTAATCATTCTAAAACTAAAACCACAAACTCACCGCACACAATTGCCAAAACAGCTCGGATTGCTCGGCCCGATGAAAGTTTCCCTCATTGAATTCCCATTCGAATCCTTACTTTCCTCGACTACACTGTTCGAATTCCTGGCTTGGGAACTAGCCTGCAACTGGGAAGGATTCAGATCTCCAGAAAGAGTCTTAGTAATCACAGAGTTGTTGTCCCCATCATTCTGTCTGTTCTTAGAATACCTTTCGTTCGTAGTCATGTTATTTACTGAAATTCTGGAGATGAACAAAGGAGAGGATCCCAACGAATGGCAGGAAAATGATTCAAGAACCCAGAAAGAATACTGAGTATCAGATCAACCATATTTGAGGTGATAAGTGACTCATGAATGTCCATGAATGGGCTGTTAAATTCTCCCTTTGAGAGGTAACATTGTATATCAGTAGGATTATGTGGAACAGGAGGATTATTGTTATGCTGATGATGAAGAGAAGGAACCAAAAGTGATTTCGATACCCAATTCAGTTGTTTAGGTATGGACAGTGGTGATCGAATCTCTCTACTCATTTGTTGCAGATATTTCAGTGTCTGCTTCTTGGAGTTCTGAGTATTTTACAATCTGGGCAAATATTATATGGATCTGTACTACACAGTAATGATTGGAAATCAATAGAAGGATCTTCTTTTAAGTATCCAGGATCTATAAATATTATCCTTTTCTTACCTTTTATAGTTGCAATAACATAAAATATTATCATGAGGACGATTAAAAATAGGTCAACAGTCCAAATCCCTGGGCGGGAATGCCCTCTCATCAGTGGGTATACCAGCATTACAAATCCAAATTGTAAGAAGGTAATGAAAATCAAAAAGTAGATAAGTGTTGACCACTCTTTATTTCATTTTTGTAAGTGGAACACTCAACATAAAACATTTCCAAATAGTAGGAGGCCTCAAATCTCTCATCAACTCGTCTCTATACTCATTGTCATTGACTAACTCAATAGGAATATGATTTTCTGAGTTTCTCAATAATCTTGCAGCTCCTTTAAGAAGTAAGATCTTAACTCATCTAATAGGAAATTCCCCTTCGCTTAGAACTGCTAAGTGGAGAGGAGTGTTTCCATCAATATCTTGAATATTTACTCCAGCTCCCCAAGCAATCAAATATGTTAAGGAAATTTCTCAGTGCAAGTAAGCTGCCCAATGCAAAGCAGAAGATCCATTTTTATCACCTTCATCAATATTTATGCTATGATTATTCAGGAAATAGTATATCGCTGCAACTTGTTCTGACTGTGCAGAAGCATGAACCACATTCTTCCCTTCATTATCTTTAACAAATGTATCTGCCCCTCTCCTTACCAAAAATTTAATCATTTTTACATTCCCTCTGAAAGCTGAAAAATGTAGAGCAGTGAGGCCAGCCCTGTTCTTCTTATTTATATACTTTGTCCTTGAAATACTGATATCTAAACCTTTGACTTTCATCTTCTCGTGATCAAAGAGTTCATTCAAGATCCATTCTACAACCTGAAATACATTTCTCTCACAAGCATGATGAAGTATAGTATTTCCTTCATTATCTAATTTAATTTAGAAAATTGTAAATTCTTACCTATCTCTTGATAAAACTTTTTTGGATTTTCCTTAAGCTTCTTTTCAACTTGAAAGAACTTTATCTCAACTCGATATCTTCTAAGAAATGTGTATAAAAGTTATCGTTTGTAATTGAACTCCTTCAGGTGACCGAACTAGATGACATTCTGTTCTCATACAATTGAGAGGCTCTGGAGCGTCGAGAATATGTATACTGATCGTTAAAGACCTCCCTGAACCTATCACCATCGTCCTTCTGTCCCATTCTCTTATCATTGAAGGGAGGAGAATAACTGCTAGAGTCCAAGCCTTTCCCACTCTTGTTGATATCAATCACCATTGAGGCTGAATCTTCCTTACTCTGAGTTGCATTCAGCAAGACTTGCTTATGCTCTATAACACCAGATGAAATGAATATATAAGAGCATTAGGATATTAAGAAAGGGTGAGTACCAGATACATATCTATTTTGGTCTAATAGTTTAACCTCTTCTGCCATAATGATTAATACTTAATAATTTCTATTATTTTTACCTCATTTGGGGTTTTGGGGTTTTGGGGTTTTGGGG